AAATTTTAATGATTAGAATATAAGCAGAATAGGTATACCTTATGTATTAGATTTATTTCTTTCAATAAATTTACTTAGAAAAAGAATTAAAAAAATCAAAATATTAAGAAGGAAATACCTAATTAAGAATTTACTAAAATTACTAAAATAAAATATTAAAAGCAACGAAAAAAAATGGGTAAACATTTTAGTATTTTATCTATAAAACACAATACAGAAGGTTTCACATTAATACATTGGCACAGTGCCTTCTATTAAAAGATCAGCCTGGGGGCGAGATTTATGACGTCACGCTAGTTAGATATAACGGATTAATAAATATGTTGTAGAATACATGGAAAACATAATTATTCCTCAGATTTTTGGTTTGTATTTTCAAAATGATATAGTTTAAATGAAATATACATAATATACAGTTAATAACTACAACATATATACCTATTTATAGTAATAAATACTTTGGCAAATAAACTATGAACCATACAAATGCAGCAAATGTTTTACAATGTACAAATAATGTATAGGTACATAAGATAATGGGTAAAATGTAAATATATTTTTAAATTTTGGGGTTTGAAAATCGATCTAATTTAACAAAAAACATTTAATATCTACTAATAGTGATGTATTATTATTTGCATTCACAAAATTTATATGTATATTTTGCAAGTATCAATGTTCGAAAAATTATATTTACAAATAATACAATATTATCTAAAAAGGCGTCAGCGATGGCTATGAAATGAAGATCGCTGGCATTTTATATATTAAATTATTCTAAAATTTTTGATTTTCTTGGGATTTTAGGTTCGGGAAAAACGCTGATTAAGTTTTCATTTGGGTTTCATTATTTTTATTTGGTTTAAAAAAACGTTTCGGCTAACTATAGCCTTCACAGTGTTGTGTCATATGAGAAAAATAGTGTCGAATATAATCAAAAATTACATATACAATATAATTCACACCTCATAATGTTTACTGCAATTAATAAACTAATATAAACTTATCAAAAGACGACCACATATTTTTTTAAAATTATTATTCTTAACACTAAAATTATCTACATTGACTATGGAGTACGCAGTAAACATTATGTGCGTGGTGTGAATATTTTATATGCAATTTTTGGATTATATTCGACACTATTTTTTCATATGACACAACACTGATGGAGGCTATAATGTTAGCCGAAGCGTTTTTTTTTAAACCAAATAAAATAATGAAAAAACAAATGAAAAATCAATCAGCGTTTTTCCCGAACCTAAATTCGAAGAAAATCAAAAATTTAGAATATTTAGAATCAAGGTTCAAGAATATCAAATTTTCCAAGATTGTAAAATTCTAGTTAATTATTTTATGTGTACAGTTATTTAGGGAATGTCATCGATGTTTATTTCCAAGCCAACTAGACGCCGATTTTTCGATGATACGGTATAATTCTTACGTAAAATGTAAATAACATTAGACCAATTAAAACAAAAGAAATATGAATTTCTTAGTATTTTTAGTAATACCTTTATTCTTAAAACTTAATTTTGTATTATGCAAATATACCAATTTTATTGTTATTTTATTCATATTGTATTCAGCCATCACTTAAATATTTGATATTAATTTGGTATTATAAATAATCAATACTATTCGTTAAAAACTACTGAACAAATATATGTTATGCTTAACATACATTATATATTATCAAACAAAAACACATTCTTCTTTTAAACTGTATCAGTCTTGTCTTTACAAAAATCTTTTTTAAAATTTGAACTCAAAATAATAATCTTTTTCATGATCTCTAATACACATATTCTTTATTTTTTCCTAGATCATAATACCTACTTACGTGTTTGAATCTATCGAAGCTGAACCAGCAACACTTGGAGTGGAGATTCCACAATATGAATAAAATAAACATAATTGTCCAGTTTTCATTAATACCATCATGGGAGAATATTATTTTTAAATTTATTAAAGATATTTTCAATAAAATTCTCTTGATTTATAACTTGTACCCACTTTTCTTGCTCTTCCGGACACTTTAGGCTGCCTAGTATAATAACTATCCTTAGTAACTATCCTTTCCACCAGAAACACAACAAAGATGAGGCATAGCACCAATAACACACTCCACTTAAGCTTTATTGATGAATTGTTAGAGTCTTAAAAAACACACACAAAAATCACGATAAGTAAAAAATGTATGGGCACTTTTAGGTTAAATCACTTGCACAACGTGTAATTTTTAAAATTTCTATTTTTTTATACGAAACCGAGAGTGACCATATATCTGGTAGTAGTTTATGTCACTTCAACACCAAAATAATTAGTTTTTTGCACTACAATAATAAATAATACCAAAAATCAAAGAGTTAAAACCAAAAATCAACAGACAAAATATGAAACGGAATCTAACCCAATATCTAAGTATGTACAGCTGATGAAGTAAACAAAAGTCCGCCCGTAGGCTGATCTTTTAATAGAAGGCACTGATTGGCAGTAATTGAATTCCGAGGTAAAAGCAGAGAAATAGAAGGGATAGAGAATGAACGTCAACATGCGCAGAAGGTCTAATCAAGTTGGGCGCCATATTCCAGGTCTTCGTGTCATTTTGTATATAGGTGGTAATCTATAAGTAATCAAATATCAATTTGCTGTTTTCAACCATACGGGGGGCAATTTAAATTTAGTGAAATTCTATCATTCATTATGGTTAGTTAACATTAATATGATTTATTTAATTATCAGTTTCAAAACTGCGTACAATATTGGTATATAATACACTAAATATACGAATATTCTGACAAAAGACGCTACGGACAGATGACCTTTTCGTCGTAAAACACTCGAAATGATATTAAATAAGTATTTACAATATTTCATGTTTACTTGTACTGAATTACGCGTTTCAATTTAAAATTTTTGCAAATTTGGTAAAAATTGTTCTAAACAACTTTTTGTTCAAGTTGTATATTCATAAAAAACATTTGGTTCATAATTATTTTTGATGATTACCTACCTTGTATTTTTAATATAAACCTAGAAAAAATATGTTTTTGTTTTATTTTTTTTATTCGTCCCTTCAAATTATGTTTCAAAAACTGTTACATAACATGTCCTCTAACAAATATTTTCATAATACATAAACATCATTGATTTTATTAAGGGTATTATTATTAGTATTTATCCTGGTTTTTGTCGACAATAAAAACTCAATCTTGTAATAGAACATCAATTTTATATTTCGTAAAATTATTTTGATACAAATTCGATTTGTCAAAATTCAAGTCATTAATATATTGATAAACAACCCAAATTATTCCTAAATATTTTATTATAAACAAAAACTGTTACCGGTAAGTTTGTAAAACACATTATGGTTTGTCGTAATACTAGAAAAAATCATTTATTTTTTGCACAAAAGAAGCTTGTCGATCCTTATTTGTCCATAACAAAATTCTGTATGTACATATACCTAATTTATTATTAAGAAAATTAGATTATATGATCTCAGAATTTTAAGAAATTTTTTTTTAAGATAAAATAGTTTCTTCTCAACTGTAATATTGTCAACTTTGGCCTGTATTTTATCTATTTAAAAACATGGGATTGACAATCCCCTTACTAAAATACATACTGGAAGGTACCGATTAAGTTTCATTGCATCAAATACCTTTACTATAAATCCTGGCTCACAACTCACAATTTAAGGCCATTGCAAAATGCTTTTGAACTTCATCATAGATTTTACAAGAATAATAGTGTAATATTGAAACAAAGTAACATTGTAAGCTTCATGACTAATAGTCTCATTTTTAACACTTTTTAAATATCATCTCGTTAACAATTATGAATATTACATGATTTTTCTCAGTGATTTGTGGCACAGATACAAATTAATATATGCCCCATAACAGTTTTTAAATAAGAAACCTCTGCCTACAGATTTAATTTTCTTATTGGCATAATACCTTTTCTTCCTATATAAATCTTGCCATTTTTTTAGTCCAGTGTTCCTTGTTTTTACAGTTGTAGGAATACTAAAAATGTTGACTATAGAACTCGATACTATGTTTGAAAAAGCCTTCATACCTGTAACTGTGCATAAATCTAATTAACCGAATTCTCCTCCTCTTGACACTCTGAACACTGTTGCTGCTAATGTTAGAAATATTTAGCACAAAACTACAACTACCTACAACAAACTTTACAATAAAAATGTTAAATTTTCGCTGTTCTATTAAAATACCCTATCTTATGTTTTCTTTTCCTCCAAATAATCTTCTTGTCAAGTAAGGACCAATCTTATTTGACATATTTCTGAAACACACTTGAACTTGTGCTTTCATGGACACTATAAGAGTGCACTGTTTTACAGAAGCACGAACATTGATTCCAAGTATCTTCTTCCTCCACACGTAATAAAAACATCCTCCTTAAATGGCCACATCATACACTTATTTTGACCATTCCCAATTACAATCACGATTTTTACAAATCGCCTTTAGGAAAACTAAAAATAAACTGTTTTGGATCATCTGTAAACACGATTATGTTGTATAAACTTACACATGAAAACTAATCATTTTTCCCGGCGTATTAGCTTTCTTAGAATGACTATGATAATATACAACAAGCCTTTTTGAATTAGTGTTTAGAATAATTGAGATAATAATAAATTTTAACTAGATAACAACACAAACGAAAAAAAGAAACAAACAGATGTCAATTAAAGAGGGGAAGTGACAGCGAGACCTGGAAGATGTCTGCCATCTTGCCGTCGACAAAAATTTGGATGCGCAATCGTCGAAGCTCATTCTCCCACTTCCATATCTCTGGGTAAAAGTCTCTGGGCACTCCACTATTAGTGTTTTTTACTAAAAATTCAACATTAATAAAATAGATATCTTCAGACTATTACTGCTATTACCGTTTATGTGTGTGATGGATTTGTTAATTAATTGTTATTTATTTAGTTTTTATTTTTTATCCGTTTGTTTCAGATCTTTCAAACTGTCAGCTGATGCAAGTTCCAGATGCCGTTTACCACTTGATGAGACACACCGAACTCAAAACCTGCGATCTCAGTGACAATGTAATCACAAAAATTCCACCAAAGTTTGCTGTGAAATTTAATCTCATTACAGGTAAATATTTAATTTAACTTGGAACTCATTTGCTTTTGAAAGTTAAGTGTTAGGGTTATACTGCCATTACTCGCTGACGAGTATTCGACACGCATCAAAAGATGGTCACGCAAGGCGTTAGCTTTTCTAACTGCTCTCGCAGTTAGCTTTTTCAAGAACCGATACGTTTGAGACATGATGGAACCACCGGACTCTTAAGAGTCGTCTAAGGTGTCTCTGTTGCAACTTGTTTAATGCGTTCATGTGTCGGCGGTACGGCACTCAGGTTTCGCTCACATATAACATGGTGGGGATTATAATTGCTCGGTGCACTGCTACAAGTTTCGTTTTTGTACTCAAGTCATGATTGTAGTAAACACTGCATTTAATTTTTAGAATGCTCCTGAGGCGCTGCTAATCCTGTGCTGAATTTCAGAGTCGATATTGGCCTTTCCCGAAATCAAATTGCCGAGGTAATTAAATTCCGCTACATATTCCAATAGCTCTTCTCCGATTTTTATAGCATTGGTCGCATCGATATTTAGCTTAAGGCCTAAAGTCTCGTATGCCTAGGTATATGTGTTCAACATTTCTTGTAACTGTTGAAACGTGTTTGCAACTAAAGCGCAGTCATCAGCGTATTGAAGTTCTGTGATGAATTTTGTACGTATTTTTGCCCTGAGTCTTTTTATGTTGAACAGACTGCCGTCATATCTGTATCTTATGTCCAATCCTCTCTCCTGCAGTTTTCTGTCCACTATAATGGAGAGCGCTGCCATGAATATGTTGAATAGGAGAGGCGCTAAAACATATCCCTGCCTAACTTCTGTATTTGTCAGGAAAGGATCGCTCAGTGATCCATGATGTGACACTCTTGACTGGTTGTTGTTACGGAGGCTTTTACACACTGTAAGAAATTTGTTGGGTACTCGGAACTTATTTATAATTGCCCAAAGTGCATCTCTGTTCACAGAGTCGAAGGCTTTGGTTAGATCGATGAATGCAACATAAAGTTTAGACTGCTGCTCTTTTATTTTTTCCTGTAGTTGGCGGATGGAAAATATGGAATCGACGATGCCACGGTTGGTGCGAAAACCCGTTTGCGATTCAGGAATGATTTTTTCTATACTTGGGTGCAGGCTTTCTAAAAAATATATACTTCATATAAATAGACAAAAATAACATTACAATAATTACTTTGAATGTGTTAGACAATGATTCAGTATTGAAACTAAAAGAATTTCGCACTTCTATTGTCTTTTTCGGTCAGAAATAACACTGATCGGTATCAAGTGTGAACTAATCTAAATCCTAAAACTACTGAACTTAAATACTAGAGCCGAGCATTTACCCGTGAAGATGTTGGGTGCCATCAAGCATGAGGTTGTTCACTGAGAATACCCGCATTGAGGCGTTTTATGAGTGGTTGCCATATTGTTGAAATATTCATACTGGAATTGCTAAAGATTTTATTATTGTTAGATATGAATACGGCCTCTTTAAATTTGTGCTTTTCCCAAGGGGGTTCCTTGTGGACAATCCTTGCTTGGATCACATATGATCTGCAGTGCCAGACTTTATGGTTTCACCTCTTTGCGTATATTTTCTATGTTCGCCAAGTCGTATATGTAGAGGATGTTTTGTCTCCCCAATATACGACTCACCACACTCGTAAGGTACCTTGTTTTGATGATTCCAGTGTTGTTTTTGTTAGGGCATTTCTTAGGATAGTCCCAGTTTTAAAAACGGCTTTAATTTTATACTGCTTGGGTATTCGCTTGATCTTCTCCGATGTTCCTTTCACATATTATGGAATCGTCAAGAGAGAGAAGACATCCTTTTTAGGCTGGCGCAACCATTGGGTCAGACTTGCAATTGAATATAATCTTGCCCATGAACTTTGCAGAGTATTCATTCTGAAGCAAAGCGGTTCGCAATTCACAGATTCTTGTTCACTGCCATATAGTGATTGCTCGATGACATAATGTTTTAACTATACCTCTCTTGGTTGGTTGCTTTAGAATGTTTCGAGTGAGAATTTAAATATTGTCCCGTATACTTTTCCTATATACAGCACTGCATCGTTGCATTCTACTGACCAGAACATCCCGAAATTGTAGACAGAAATTTTTCTCTTTCTCAATCATAAATCTGATTAAGTTACCTCGTGAATTGAGATGATTGGGAAAGGAATCGTTGGATTCGGTTCCATTCGGTGTTTATCAGTTTCATTCCAGATTATAGAGGTATCGTCAACATATCGAAGCCAGATTTTGGGGTGACAACTGCGAAGCGTTGTGTAAGCAAAATAAACAAAGACAATGGAAGTCCGAAATTCACTGTAACTTATTAATTAAAATAAGTTTTGTAGTATTTCCAAATTAATAAGTTTTGGTCTATACTCATTAAAATATCTTAACTTAAATCTCTTCTTTTTTGTTTTAGATTTAAACCTTTCTCACAACCAAATGTCAAAATTGCCAGAAGAATGTGCAGAAATGGGCAACCTGGAAAGGCTGGACATTTCACATAACAGCTTTATCTCGTTACCTAATTGTATATTCAAAATGCCAAAACTACACCAACTTAAGGCTAGTGATAATCGTATAGTTGGTAAGTTTACGAACATCAATATTTGTATCAGGTTTGAACGGAAAATGTAATTATAAAATTAAAGATTGATTTTAGAATACGTTTTTGGTACGTTTACACAAGCAATTGTTAATTATACAGGGTTACCCAAGTAGCATTTTCACGACTTGCGACCACATGTTTACTAAACACAACGTTGAATTAGTTACAAAAAATAGTTAGCGCCCTACCTTGGGTATTAAAATAAATTTAAACGTTTTTATAACGTTGTGCCGACGTTGGACTAGTACTACAGCAAAGTAGAAGCTTCCGCGACGTCGAATAAACGTTGTATTGTAACCTTTTTTGCTTAAGTGATCTTTAGGTGATTCGGAGAACGTAGTTACAACGTTGGACAATATAGAGTTTTCCGACGTCAGTTTCAGGACCTATTCCAACGTTATGCAAACGTCGTCTGTTTTACTAATTCCAACGTTGTTTAGATTTCCTTATTCTTACGTTGGTAGGACGTCGAGTCACTACATCTTTGCAACTGTATTGAACCATAACCTTAAATCTTAAATTTTCACTTCATTGTTCTGTTCAGTCAGACAGTTCAGTGCTGTTTTTGTTTTTATAAAAAAAAACTTAATTAAAATGGGACATAAGAAAGGTACATATAAAACTAAATTTAAATATACATCGACATATATTACCGATAATTTATTCACTCCCTCGTTTGTTTAGATTATAGAGGGCGGCACAAGCTAGACTCTAGGATGACTAAATTAGGCAATCTTGCGTCTAGTATACTACCTGTTAAGGCCGAACTGCAACTTTATTAGTCCAGTATGCGACTACTCGAACTACTCCATCTTAATCTCCAAAACAGCAAAGTGAAAGCCGCCATGTTGTTAAATAAGAAAATGTTTCGTTCCTAAAATAGCAATTCCTGCTTTTTGAATACATTAACTTGAAATATTTGACCCTAAAAAAACACGCGGAAACAATTTTTTCGACTGCGAATAAATTATTCTCATTTTACTAAAATAAAAAATTCAAGAAAATTTTTAAAACTTCTTTAATTTTAAGGCCCATTAGTATTTTTCAAATTAAAAACAATACATTTATCAATAAAGTTGTTTGCGTTTAACTTTTTTGCCTTGGGTAACGAGTTACAGAGTCGGTTAAAGTGTTTCAATAATTATGATCTTCAAACATCCTCCACACTTAAATACTTTTGTTTTGTTTTCCTTCACTGCTATCTGACATATGTCTCTAACTAAATCATAAAAATAATATTTTTACTATAATTATCCCAATTTGGGCTAAAACGCGACTTAGACGCCATATTAGTTTTGTATTTCTGTGAATTAGGATTTTAAACAACGTTGCAGTTTGTACTAAATTAGGCTTCTAGCCAACGTCGGTATCCAACGTCGTTTCGACCCACAAATTATTCTCCAAACTAGTGCAGACTAGGGTTGGCACGAGGTTGTGCCGATGATACAATTATTTTTAGTTGCCTTGTTTTGTTAACATATTCCACAGGGTATTTCAAACTTTCACCAAAATATTAAAATTTTGTTTTCCCTGGTATAATTGACAGACGAGAAATTTCATTTTTAATTTAGATAGAGACACTAATAAGTAAATAATTTAGCTACAAATTGCTTAAAAAATTATCAGAATTGGCCCACTAGATCAAAATATAATAAACTTTAAAATACATCAAAATTTTAAGGTGCCCATTTTTCCTCGCATTTTTCGTGCCTGTGAGTGTAATTACTGGGAACAATAAAATAATCTATAGCCATTATTATATTATTATTATTATACTTATCCGTTATACACATATCTATCTTTTTTCAGATATTGAAGTAGACTACTTGACAGAAGCTCCATCGTTACAGACCGTCGACTTTCAGAGAAACCCAATAACACCTCGAATTCACGAACAGTTATCCAGGATCACGAAAATCATAGTCATCCTGTCGCCAAGACAAACAGAAGACTGGGAAGATCTCACTATTTAATTAGTGCTCAATAATAGTCATATGAGAACTGCCATTTATTTGACTTTATTTATGTTAGTTAAACAGAGATGCTCTTTGCTTAATTCAGTTCATGTTTTCAAGTATTTATATTTCTTTTTGTATATACTAGTTTCAACAGTTAAGTATAAAGCCCGGATTCTCTTAGTTTTATTAAATGCATAAGTACAATTTATACAGGAAATTCATCAAGATAAATTATTATTAATATTTAGAACGATATTGAAAGTAGATACCAATTTTTTTAACTTCAGTTAGATTTGGTGTTTAAGCTAAGCTAAAAAAACTGGTTTAAATATGTTTAAATTCTAAATTATGTATCTTGCTTTCTGTTAGCATTTATTTTTAAAGACTTTTAGTCTATAACTTGCAATTTAACACGGTGATAATGCATAAATGAAGTTATGTCAAATAAGCAGATGAGACTCATACTAAAAAATGAATTTCAAGAATGAGGACAACAAAATGTTAAAATTTACAAAATGCTAAAATGAATACTTTTACTTTACTACAAAGAAGTTCTTGCTACAAAAACATTAGTCCCTTTGATTCATGCAAAATTTCTTGATTGAAAAGGGACATTTCTTGATTAAAGAGACACTTTTCTTAAACCAATAGCGAATACTATTGACTCAACTAAAATTTATTTTGATCTAAGAGAAGTCTATACATCATATATACAGGCATATTACGAGGTATATTATTTTCGGATAAATTTAGGTTTTCCTGGTCTGTAGTAAAAGTAAAGTGATATTATTTTCCTCGATAGTAGTTATTTCTGCTTCTTCACTTCTTGGTATTTTTAGGGATGGTTCATCACTCTACAAATTACAAAAAAATATTACATCACGATTAATCAAAGTAAAGCAAATAGATTATTAAAATTATAAGCTTTGGTCACATTTTGAATTTTTTAATACGACGACTTGAAATTCTAAAATTTTTGTAATTATTTGCATAAAAAAATCGATACCTATACTCTTATTCTGTCGATAGTCACGCATGCATTATCTAAACAGGTGCATTAGGTAAATGTCTCTTACCTTCAAATATAGCAAATAAATGCTCTAATTTCCATTTTTTCAGGAACTCCTTTAAATAATCCATATATCCTAAAATTTGTCCATAAAAAATGACAAATGCATGTTAATAACGATCACTAATTTGTTATACGATATGCGTTTAAAAAGCAAATTATGCAAAATTCCAAGTGAAAAATTCCAAGCAACAAAACCCGTGCGTACTATGATGTGCGACCTATGAAATGCGACGTACGACTGATCGGACTGCGGACTGATTGTAATATACCGTCCTTCGTCATCGTCTTTGCGTGTCGTTATTATTTTCCATCAAAAGAGTATTTAGCTATTGGAAAAATGGCCATGTTTCTTGAATGAAGTACTTCCTAGCGTATTTTTCTTATTATCTTAAAACAAAGTAACTTGCACTTGGTTGAATGAAAATAGATTCAAGAGAAATTTTCGAATTTTTCAAGAGAACCGGTTTTCTTGAGTTAAGAGAGTTTTTCTTCAGGCAAAATATTTTCTTTTACGCTAAAATAAATTCTCTTGCCACTAATTTTTTTTCAAATGGCTTAAGTTTTGCTTTTGTGTCGATAAATAGATATAGCTCTATTGTTATGTCACTGCACCATTGCAAAAGTCTCAACTGTCGTCAGATTGTACTGAGTCTTAAACTTGAATAACTGACAAGGTGCCACAATAATGTATTTGAATTTAAAAAAGTTATGGTACCTGTTACATTTGTACCGCGTTACAATTGTACCCGATCTCCCCTAAGTGTCTATTTGACATAACTTTCAGTAAATTTTATTATTATAATTTTCTTTTCGTTTTTTCCTGGCTTTCGACTTAAAGAAGCATTTCTACTACAAAGATTTAAACCAGTCAAGTCATATAGGTGTTATTTATTATATATGTGCAGTTTTGTATTATACTTAGGTAATAATTTAAAAAGTATTTGTATTTTTATATACTGACATTGTATTTAAAAGAACTGAACAATGTTCTTGTTGTAAAAAACATTTTTTAGTCGATTTACTAATTAAAAATGTACTTATTTTAAAGTACTTTTAGAGAGGTTTACAATTGACAATAGGACCTAATGCACTAAGCGACATTAAATACTTTTTTATCAAGTAATTTTGATATTATTTATAATGAGATCAAGAATTAAATTTAGGTCTGTTGTTTGTAAGCCGGTATTATGTGTGTATATTTTTTGTACTACTGATCTGTAATCTCGTGTTCTTGACTACATTTTGTAATATTTCTAAAAAAAAAGGTTTTGTATACTGTAACTGAGGAGTTTGGTCATCTAGTCAGTTTTGTGATAAGGGCCAATAATGTGTCCTTCAAATTTTTATGCTAGATGTATCTAGGTAAAAAAATATATTGAATAAAGACAACAGAGTTGATTTAAAATATGTATTTTATTTTTTCACGACTGGTGGTTTAGGAAACTCAGGGTCTGTTGATAATAGAAGTATTATATAAGGTGGCGCCTCTCATATGGAGGAAAATGTACTGGGTGTTCCACGTAAAATAAAGGAGTAACTTACTTTTCAATGTGACTAATGTTCCATATTAATTTTCTCTCATTCTGTATAACTTTTCGGGTCAAATTTCAATTTGGTTTAACATACAATGGTTACTGTAATTAAATATCAGGCATACAACTAAAACTACACACACCGGAAAAATCTAGGGATATAATTTTATTAAGGTTAAAAATAAATGTTTTGAATAAACAACCACATATTTGTAGGCCGATTCTTTCTACTTCGATTGAAACGAAGTAGTCACACTAGTTGTTTCTAAATTTGGGATATTTGCAGAAGTGTTTGTGCATTTTTTGTCAAATGTATAAAAAGCACCTAGCATCAATTGTTCGAATTTAACCTCTACTGGCTATGTTTTTATGATAACTGGCCAGAATTCATTCAAATAACTCTGTTTAGTATTAAACGACATTATAGAGCGTAGACATCTTAACAGAAACGAAATGCTAAGGGCCATGGGTATGCTCGAAGCTGGAATACGCCAAATCGACGTAGCTAGAGCATTAAATACAACGCAAAGTGTAATATCGCGATTAAGTGCACGCTACCTTGAAAGTGGTGATGTTGCTGAAAGGCGCACAGGGCGACATCGCATTACTACCCCTCAGCAAGATCATTTTTTACAATTAAATGCTCGACGCCGACCGACTCTTACAGCACCAGAACTTAATTTAATTCTCCAGGAAACACATAATGTAATCGTTAGTCCTGACACTGTTCATGAAGTATATACAGCGTATTGTTTAATAGCAAATGAAAATGACCCTCATAATTTTAAAGAGGCAATAAAGGAAGAGCAATGGAGTAATGCTATCCAGAAAGAAATAGAATCTCACAAGAAATTACAAACATGGACCGAAAAAGTATTACCACAAGGCAAAAAAGCTATTGAAACAAAATGTGTATTTCGCACTAAAGAAGATGGCACAATGAAAGCAAGAATTGTTGCAAAAGGGTTTCAAATTAAGGAGGAGAACTTTAGTCAAGCAATGTATGCTCCAGTAGCAAGAATTTCGACAATCAGGGTAATGTTATCAGTTTCATTGCAAAAGAATTATGAAATACGGCAACTAGATATACCCACTGCATTTCTAAATGGAGAACTGAACAGTGAAGTATACATAAAACCACCAGAAGGATTGAAAACAAAGTCACAAGTACTAAAGCTAAACAGAGCTTTTTATGGATTGAAAGAGTCTCCCAGAGTGTGGAATGATTATTTTGCATTTTTTTACATTTAGTAATTTTGCAATAAATAATAAATTAAAAAGATCAAGATTTGATTGCTGTCTATATTACAATAAAGATATTTGGCTATTGTTGTATATAGATGACATACTAATAACAGGAGAAAAAGAAAAAATACAAAACATATCTTTAAAATACAAAAAATTTAGGTGAAATAAAAGAATTTTTGGGAATGTCAATAGTAAGAGAGGAACAGACATGATATATAAATCAAACAAAATTTATAGAGAAGTTATTAAAATATTACAATATGCAAGACTGCAAAGGAAAAAGTACACCAATGGAAAGGGGATTTCAATTTAACAAAGATAATGAAATAATTGAGGTACCATATAGACAATTAATCGGAAGTCTAATGTATGTATCAACCATTAGTCGTCCTGACATCACTTACGCAGTTTCATATTTAAGTAGATTTTTAGATACTCCAACACAAGAGACATGGAATGCATCAAAAAGAATATTAATGTATTTAAAAGAGACGAAAGAAAAAGGATTGGTTTTCAAGAAAAATTATATTCAAGATAAAACACCAAATGCATTTTCAGATTCAGACTGGGGATCGGACAAAACTGACAGGAAAAGTGTAAGTGGAAGTATAATTATGTATGGACAAAACGTAATATCATGGTTTTCGAAAAAACAAAACTGTGTCGCTTTATCTACGGCAGAGGCAGAGTTCATAGCAGCTGTAACCACTTCTCAAGATTTAGTGAACATAAAAGGTGTATTAAGTGACTTTAATATTACAGCTAGAGCAATACTTTATTGTGATAATATGAGTGCTATTCAAATATCACGTAATAATGAAAATTCAAAACGAACCAAACACATCGACATTAAAGTTCATTATCTTAAAGATCTAGTATTAAAGGTAAAGCTGTGGATCCGGTGGCTGACCTTGAAGCCCATATTTGCGGTATTTGATCATCGATACTACGCAAGCGCACATCGTCGATGTTGCCAAATTGCAGTTTTTTTTCGAATTATTTGCAGTTGAAAAATTTCTTTTTGAGTGTTAATCAATAATAATACAAATTCTATAATTAATTTCATAATTTCAGATTTATCTTGATATTCAAAATTAAGGTAAGAAGTATAATGAAGATTGTGAAATGAAAGTATAATGAATATATAAAATTGTACTAATGATAACATTTATTCTATATATTTACATTTACGGATTTTTTCTTAATGGTTTTAAACTTATTAGAATTATTTTATTTCTTTCAAGTTATTTACAGGCAACAATAGTTTTGATTATATGTATTGATGTATAAGTACTACCATGACGAGTCTTATAGAACAATATACACGTCAATGAGATAGAGGTAACATTTTACCTATATGTTACT